TGGACAGTAACACGCATTTGCAGCTTGTTGAGTTTATGTACCTTCACTCTTATTTTTTAGTCTAATTTGACCGGACTAGTTCTGGTCTTTGGGAACGGTGCTTGTTTTGGATCCATTTCACATCAGAGATCCCAGTTCTACTTTTCATTCCTGTATCATTTTTATTTTGTTTCATATTTCTATTTGCGACGTCTCCAAAGATTTAAATTTCCGTATTATGTAATTCCGCTTCATAGTTTTCAGAATTGCTTTGATACCACCTAGCCCTGAAGCATCTTCCGACCTGGAAAACATAAATTACACTTTGAATTTTAAAATGATTTTTACACCTGAGGCTGCAGCATACACGCTGAGGTACGTGGGGTTCATGAATAAGGAAAGCGAGTTGAACGAAAATGTAAAAAATAGTGGCTTTAAATCACAGAAACTTTTCTGTATGATACTGGACGTGGAAATACAAGTTATTTTTCATGTGAAGTTGCAAAGGTGGGTCAATAATGGTGATGTTCATTCTTTGAATATCAACATCGATCTAGATATGTTCATTTAACAGTTTGGGTTAAGTTTGAACTCAAAAAACATCGGGGACCAGTGGAAAAGCTCCTTTTAAATGTCTGTTCCCAAATACTACAAAAATACTGCTGTATATGGTTCATGAAATCTTCTTCCCTGTTCGTATTCGTAGTTTCCAAGCAACATCTTGTGATTTCTACACACTCGAAAGTATCGATTGAGAATATCATGTATTACCAGCCATACATATAATACTAGGCATGGTTCTTTCCTTCTAAATGAAAGATTTAGATTAGAGACTTCATCTTGAAACAGTTTAAATTTGAACCTTTATAATTTTTTGCCAGAGTACTATAAAAATTTGAGTTATGCCGAATTTAAATTCAAGATAAAAAAACTCTTAATAGCTCACAGTCTCTACACAGTGAACGAATATTTTCAGATACCGACTATATGTTGACACAAAAATTCTTTATTATACTTTTTTTTTATCTTATTTGTGTAATATCCTGTCTGTATATTTGTTTTTTACATGTGTCTGTATATGTGCATGTATATATATGAGATTTTGATCCAATAACTTGAACATAGTTCGATGTGGTTGTCGTCTTTCGGGATACAAGTTTAAATACATTTCCGATGTCCTAACACTGTTTGTATCGTATTTGCAACAAATTTGTATCATATCTCTTTTTTCTTCATTCGCGAAAGCCACTTTTCGACAAAAATTCAATTACTTGTACAATAACAAAATGTCATTGAGTGTAACAAATTGAAAGTCAAATTTAGAAACATCAAAGTCTAAGCATATTATGATAAGCATATTATGATAACTTATGATACATAATTGAAAAAGTAAAATCTAATTCTATTCAAAATAGAAGGAATCCAATGTAGCGCCGTTGAGAAAAAATAAAGTTGATGATGGTGGCCGGAAGACGAAACATCGGATTGCAAATATGATAACACCATTATGTAGCATGGAAAAGTGGCAATGTGAAATGGCAATTTATTTTCGAACCCTTCGAAAAAATAAAGCCATAAAAAAATAAAAGCTATTTTCCGAAATTTGTTTTTTCCGGATATCTCCGGATATACTAGGAATTTCAGAACTTTCTCAACGGCGTATTGTTAATCAGGTAGGTGCGCAACTTTGCTCCAATTTAACCATCATCGTATCTCTCATAGTTTCCGAGATCTCAATGGTGAGGATCGAATTTGAAACACCCTATATCTGCAGTCTATGAAGCGATTTTTTCATAATTAGGAGGTGGGCAAATACACGACAACTTTTTGTTGTTTGAAACGTTGGGACAATCCAAAAATTTAAGTCCACACGAATGAACTCGCGGGCAACGACTATTTTTCAATATTTTCCAACCTCTTCCACCCAGTTACTGTTGAAAGTTACATAACTCAAGTTTCAGAGTGGAAATCAACAACTCGATAGTATCAAGATGAATCACCCATTCTTCAAACACCGTCTATGAACCCAACTAGCCGCATTCATTGAAGCGGCTGGATACCGAAATCCAGCAAAATATTCTGCAAATCCAGCACAGCCAAAACAATTCACAGTCGACCTCTACATTCACTCAATAATCCATAAACACGTATCACATATTGTCATAAATATCGCAGTGGGCATTGGCCAGCCGTCAAATGCCAATACGCGGCGTCCACTGGTCTTGTAATGTGAGGCTCAATGGCGATAATCTATCACGCAAGAGGTTAACCCCATCATTGTTCCATTAGCATTTCAATAATTGATTTCAATCGAGGTGTTTGTCGACAGTTCATTATTATTTGGGGGGATGAGTTCGAACCGATTGGTGATACCAGGATCTTCTTCATGAACAGAGCTTAATAATAATAATATATTTATTTGCTCACATAAAAGACATGTAGAAGAGAAATAAATTGCAAATATATATGGTACAATTCACGGAAGCAACATATGTTACTTGTGAGTGGTGTAATAAATAAGAAATATACAGATATAGGTACATATTGTAATGAATTAAACAAATTTATTTTTAACAATATTTCAGTATCACAACTAATTTATATACAACACTTAGCAACTAACGCTTAATTCATCTTCACAGTATTCGAATTCTTTCTTTAAACACACGATTCACTTTCTAGGTACAGACTGCCATCTAGGGACGAGAGGCCGGTTTATATATTGGCAACGACCGTTCTAGATTTCTCTAATTGTTTCGGTAGTGGCCGAGACTGTTCGCAGCGACTTGTCGAGATCATTCCTTTCGCGATGAGTCATGTGTTTACTGACTGAGATATCGGTCAGGGCCGGCTTCAGATTCATTACAATATATTCACATATATCAAAAGCTCAATCTAAAATATATGTATTGTCTAAATTATATATAAATAAACTGTGGTGGAATAATATAAATTAAAATGCCATGCACATTGAATACATGCAGTTTCATCAATGATTAATGAAAAGTCTCAGCGGAACCATAATTGACTTGTTGATTTTCAGATTTACACCCAATTGTTCTGATTAATCACTATACCAATTTTTATATCAGAATTGTACGAAATAGACATCTAATTACTAAGGTCAAATATTTCCCTGATTCTTGTGCGAGGTATGCTTCGTATGTATTCATTTAATGAATGTTTTAATCGACTATACGACCCAAGAGTTTGAATATTTTTTAGTAAAGAATTATACACAACGGGGCCCAAAAAAGGTAAGATCTTTGCCTTATTGACTTGTGTGCAAATGGTACTATGTACTATGTAGAGGTTATCTATATAACGTGGAATTATTCAAGTACAAACAATGAAGTGTTATTTGAAAAAGTCATCGATTTTCATCTAGTATCGGTTAATTTCATCACATAATGTGAAAGTTCAAATATTCCACACAGAAGGAATATTCTGAAATCATTTATTAAATAATGACATAATCGAATGTCGGAATTCAGCAAGATTTTCAATAGTAATATCGAAATTTTTTCGAGCTCCTGAATTTTTTGATAATTTTTCGAGTCGCAGACGAGGGACGTTTTTTAAAAATATTCATGAACGAGAAGAAATTTCCGGATATCAATTTGAACTCGCTTGGTATTCGGTAAGAAAATTTCACACTGAATTGTAGTGGTGAATCAAATATTTTTGAAATTTATTTTTCCATTCTCAACAATGCAAATTTTCTTCATCAAGTCACCAACGAAACATAAACTGTTGATTTCTACTGATTGTAGTAGCTCAAAAGTGCCATTTAGGGACTAAAAATATAATAGTCTTCCAATTCATAGTTACTTGAGTTTACTTACAAGTGGTAGATAATTAAAATTTCAGTGGTTTTTCGGGAAGCTGCATAAAAAGATTCACAGCGCGTCAGTGTAGTTGCATGAGAATACCATTTCAAGATAGAAAACAGTATGTTCTTCAATTTTACATAGGTTTTGAGTAACTACAAGTCGTAGAAAATTGTTTTTTTTGCGTTTTCATTAATGTGAGTTATAAGCGCGCTTTAATGGTATGGAATTCATAACCAGCGTCAGCAAGCATCAATCATAGGAGGCTGTGATCATTGTATTTTGACAGTTCAAACATCAAAAAAACTCGTGTTTTGTTGGAATAAGGAATATTGCACAGCCAGTATAACCAACAAAATTTTTTGTTTAAAAAATGAAGCGATTTGAAAATCATACCATATGCAAAATATGCGTAAAATTGTCTAATGTAATGATCAATCATCGTGACATGACTTATTCACTCGCTGCATTGTGGCTTCAACATGAAGAAAAAAAATTTGTTCGAATTTTCCACGAATATTTGCATCTAAACTACGTAAAATTGAAAGTACTGAATGGAAAAAACATTCAAAGTCCTACTATTTCGCCATTAAGAAGAGAATATAGAAAATATCTTCCATCCATCTTCCATTGAAGTTCCATTTGCTTTAAATAAATTCATCATTTTGCTGATTTGCCGACATTTAATGAAATTACGGAGTTCAAAGTCAAAATTTATCAAAAGTTTCGATTTTGAAATTGAAATTTAATAAACGTCAACAAGAATCGTAAATTCAAGTTTGAAATCTACCAAAAGTTTGAGTTTGAAGTCAGTCTTCAATGAAATTCCCAGTTTAATGTCATTCTTCAGAATTTTCCATTTGAAGCAGCAATTTGATGGAATTCCTAGTCAGAATTAAATATAATTGCGAGTATGAAATTCAACAGAATTTTGAATTTGAAGTGGCAAATTAATAGGAGTCCGAGTTTAAAGTCAGAGTTGAAGAAAAATTCTCATTTTAAAATTGGAATTCAACAAAAGTCCGGGTTCAGTATGAAGGTCAATAGGCCAAGGACGTTTTTCAGCCCAAACTGGAAATAGAAATAATTGAATTTTGTCATTTTTTGAAGTTTTTGACAGGGTAGTTATTATAATGTTTGAATTCATTATACGAGAAGCAGCCGGTGAAGATAGAAGATTTGTGTTTAGGAATGACTGAAACTGAACTGTTCCGTGTGGTGAAACTATTCGATGTTGGGAATGTTCTCGGCTTCTTTGGTAAGTAATATTCAATGAGTAATTAGAACTTTATGTGTGTTGATGAGTAGATGCAGTGTTCAAAGTTCCTCAACTTTCAAGCATCCTGATTCTTCCATGACTGAGGATATATGGTCATAATTCCAGATACCAAATGAGAAACGTAGACAGTTAATATGATTGTGTTGAGCAAATCACGGTTTAGAAACAGTTACCTGGAGACGTCATAAAAAGTTTGGTTCTTATAACTGATATGTGAATGTAAAGTTCTGGATCAAACCACAGTCCACAATCATCTCTGTCACGGAGGAAAGTATTTAATTTTCTATGCGGACTTGTAAAGTTGAGTTGGTGAGCTCACTATTCTTCTCAGGTCCAAATATCATTGTTGCAGATTAATTAGACTCGAGCTTGAGCTTTTGTGCTGTGGAAATGTCAGAAATTATTTGAAGATTGTTATCAATATATGACTGAGCAGATGTAGAATCACGAGACTGAAAAGACAAATATAACTGCGTGTAGTCGATATATTTATTAGAATTTTACGAACAGATGAAAATCACAGATGAACAAGTAAAAAAGCAAAGGTCCAAGGATGCGGATCCTACCACCAGCATCAGAATTGTAGCGAGAGATTTGAACCTTTCGATATGGAAAGTGTGGAGTACGATGCACAACGAAAAGAAATATCCGTTTCACGGCAAGGGTGTGCAAGGCTTGGAGGAAACGGATTCGGCGAGACGGATACGGCTCTGCCGTTTTTTGCTAAACGCAGATATTGACGACGCGTGGTTCTTAAAGTCCATCCTCTGGACTGACGAATCGAAGTTCTCCAGGGAAGGAATTACTAATTTCCACAACCTTCATGAATGGGCTGATAAGGACAGCAATCCAAATTGGAAAAAACAGGTAAATAAATGATTTTTATTATTATTATTTTATTAACCATATTCAACACGTGTTTAATTACCTAAATTAACTAATTTTATTGCATTTTTGTTTCAGATTTCTTTCCAAAGACAATTTTCAATAAATGTGTGGGCTGGAGTCATCGGACGCACATTGGTTGGCCCACACATTTTGCCTGACAATTTGAATGGACAAAATCACCTCGAATTCATGATAAACGACTTGCCAATGTTACTCTATGATGCCGAAGTGCCAATATTGGACACGGACAGGCCGATCACATTTCAGCAAGATGGATGCCCAGCACGTTAGGCTGTAAGCGTCCGCGAACACCTGAACCGCTGTTTTCCTAGCAACTGGATCGGGAGAGACGGACCCAGCCCCTGGCCTGCCAGATCGCCCGACCTGACTCCGTTGGATTTTTTTGTGTGGGGTCGGGTGAAAGAACTCGTATACACAACAGAAATCACCACGAGAGAAGAATTACTTCAGCAAATAGAGGCAGCGTTTGAAATTATGAAACAGGAAATGCAAATGGAAGTAACCACAACTGAAGTACGAAATCGTTGTAGAAAGTATATACGCAATGGTGGAGGACATTTTGAACACCAACAATAAATTTTTACAGTACAAAACATTTTTTTCTTTAATTCCACAAAAATCCATATTTACGACCTTTAACTGGTTCAGGTACCCTAATTAAAAAAGTTCAAGACTTAGCTAGGTAAATGATACCTCAAACGAAAGAGCAATAACTAAGCATGTTTTTAAAGGTGTCTGAACACCTGTATGTATTTTATTTATTTTTTTAATTGGCATCAAAGGTCAGATTTTTTATTTTCTTTCTTTTTTTGTAAAGTTTAAATGCTCTGTACATAACTTTTTTGGACACAATGGTGCTTCAAACTACTTTAGTACGATTGGGGACAATAAGACTACTAAAATAAATTTAAAAAACCGGACATTTCTGTTAAGATTCGAAGTTATTAGTATTTAATTGACCAATTTTGGGTTTTGTACTAAAAATCGTAAAAGTTCCCTTAAAAATCAAAAACGCGCTAGAAAATGAAAATGTTTGTATGAATATGTTCTACATGGGCTAGTGTATCACCCCCTTAAAGGTTTGCACCCAGCTACCAAACACCCTGTATTTTATTCAAGTAATTTTTTTTTTCATATTTTTGTCTATATTTGTGTAATGATGAAGGAGGAAAAAGCCAAAAATCTTTTTTTCCAAACAGGATTGGAATATTCCGTGTGAGAAATAGATACTCATAGTAATAATTGAATTGTCTGGGGATTCTTTGAAATATAATTCGATATAAGTCATAGATTTCCACACTGTATTAAAAAGATGGCAATTTCATTGTCTAAAACAAAACATTATTTTATGTTAATTTTTCTTTCCTCTCCATAGACGTCATCCTCGCATCTGATGAGAGGCAGAGGTGAACCGGCATTTGTCATCTCGCAGTCTACCTTTCTCGCTGTCACCAATCAACATTTTACGGGCGACACAGCACACTAGAGCACCATAAACCGATTTCTATGCGCTCGCTTTCTTTCAGCGCCACGTAAACTGGCAGATTTATACTTATTCTATCCTCCGGGCGCTTATTCCGAGTGCTCTGGATAAATAACCGTCTCTATTTTGATAGGCTGCTCCAGAATATTAGATGGAAAAGATGGAATTGATTTTTCCGCAGCGATTTCGAGAATGAGAGCTTATTTTGTTTCGTCCTCTTTGATTTCCCGACTGATTTCCCGTCATTTATTTTTCGTTTACAAATATTTAATTTTGTTATCGTTTTGTTTGTTTTATAAATTTGACCGTAACCACATTATTTCAGCTTGTTGTCGTTTTCCTAGTGATAACATTGATATATTTTTAGATTAGATTTCAAAAAAATACGAACATATAGCAAATTATTGGGTGATGGACGATTTCAACTTCGCCAATTTCCTATATGTATTATTTCAATAAGCTGTATTATTTAGACAATTTTGATATGAGTTCAGTAGTTGAAACATTCCACTCAGCCATAATACCAACGTAGAAACGTTGGTAAAACCTTCTACATATTTATTTGAAACAAAATATTAAGCCTGTGTGGAAAAAAAATCAACCAAAAATTCTGTAAACACCATTGTACATGCAAATGGATTCAGGTGCATATATGACGTCTTGAGAAGAGAAACCCTTGAAAAACACGATGGATTGCCTCAATCGAAAGGGGTATATTATTACGAGGAATAAGTTATTGAAAATAAAAATGTTTGCTTTCATTTCTCCATCTTTTAACAAAAAATTAATGGAATTTTCCAAAGGAAGGAAGAAAGCAATCAACGTTTGTTTGAAGGTGGTTGAAAAGCAATCAAGTTTAAAATAACCTCTTCACAAATATACCTTATCAAAACACCAGTTTATTTCACACTCACCTGCTTGGAGATGAGGAGATGGATGTTAGGTTTACGACTCCAACTGACCTCTCTGTAAATTTAGTTCAGGAGCGAGTCTACAGAGGAGATGGATGTCCAGTTTACGAGTCCAACAGACCTTCCTGTAAATTTAGTTCAGGAGCGAGAGCTTCTCAACTCCCCAACTCCTGATCCAATAACTGAACATAAAAAAAGGTTTGGTGGTGCCGCCAGGAAACGACTGAATCGTCTCCTCCAGAGAGGGGTATCTTATAAAACCGCATTGAACCAAATTCTTGAGCGGCGTACGCAAAATCTGTCTCAGAAGAAGGAACAAACCCCCAATGAGCAGGTTAGCATACGTTTGCGCTCAAGTGATAATTCACCAAAACCAGAGGCGAAAAAGCTCTGCACTTTTGAATCTAAGGCATCTTCAGGTTGTCATGGGTATCAAAGTAAGAATCTTGCACCTTGACTATCCGACTACCTCATTAACGATGAAACAGCAGCGCACATACTTTGTGCCTGACCCGCTGGGACCAAATCAGGTTTTTAGAGTTCGGCAGAGCCGCACTCTAGAGTTCGGCAGAGCCGCACTCTAACCATTTGACCTGAAAGACCATTCAGCATACAAACTAATCTGTTTCGTTAAGGAGCTGGGTTTATTTGGTCGAGTGTGAATAGGTGTGAGCCACAATACATGTTTGTCGAGTTGATAAAGAGACCACTCCGGAAAGTCTATCTACATTACTGGAAAATAACTTTCCGGAAGTCGAATGTCACCCTCTGAAAGTTAAATTTCCTAACAGCTACTCATCATTTAAAGTGAATATCCACGAGAAAAATTTTCAAAAGGTGATGAATCCGGAGCTCTGGCCGGCAGGAGCTCGTATTAGTAGGTTTTTTCACCCCAGGACCCGGAAGGAGGCGGAAACATAATAAACTCAAATAATTCTCTGAGTGATTGTGTCAACCTGCAATTTATCAGCAGATGATTTTGTTTCATATTTTTCAACTATCGCCGGTATACTGATAGAGCAACTAACCGCAACCACAGCTTCAGCAACTGACTTTTTAAAATCACGGTCATCATATTCTAATTCATTTTTTCTTTTCCCCACTACACTTAATGAAGTTCTTGAGGCCATATCCGACATGAAAACATCTCATAGTTATGACGTATATGGAATGAACAGTACCTTATTGAAGGAAATCAAATTCAGTATTGCAGAACCTATTTCAACACTCAGCAATCTATGTTTCATTAAAGGAATTTTTCCTGACACCTTTAAAAAATACAAAATAATCCCAATTCACAAGAATGGGAATGTAAACTCACCTGAAAACTATCGTCCTATATCATTTATTCCTATAATTGGAAAAATTATAGAGATTATCGTCAAGAAGAGACTGGCGAAATATTTTGAGGAAAATAAATTTCTGAATGAAAATCGGTATGGTTTTAGGCAGAACCGATCTACCACCCACGCCGTAACGAAACTGGTGAGCGATGTGGTCAATGCTTTTGAGAGAGGTGAACACACTATATGCACTCTATGTGACCTAAGTAAAGCTTTTGACTGCATCTCGCATCAGGTGTTATTACAGAAATTGGAATATTATGGTGTCAGAGGAATTGCTTACAAATTTTTCGAATCATATTCAACTCAACGAGTTCACGCGCTTTTTTATGGTGCAACATTATCCTCTAGTCAGAAAATTACTTGTGGTGTACCTCAAGGTTCAGTTCTGGGGCCACTTCTTTTCATTATTCACATTAATGATATATTTGAACATCATTTTATTCGCAGACGGTGCTAAATTTTATTATTCCAATTCAAATTTAATAAATTTGAAAGAAAAAAACTTGTCAATATTGCCAGATATAAATAAGTGGCTGATACTAACACAAAATGAGATAAAAAATCAGGAAATTACCTTCACTACGAGCAGTAAATTGAATCAGCATGACTCCGTGAAACTTTTAGGTATAACCTTAGACCAGTCCCTTAAGTGGACAGAACATATTGACTGCCTAGCGAAAAAACTATCTAGTCAACTATTTTTGCTAAGGAGAATCAAAAAATCAGTTACTCCGGACGTGCTTCTGATCTCATATTTTTCATTATTCCATTCACATGTATCTTATGGAACTGTGTTATGGGGCAACTCTACACATGCTCATCGAATCATGACATTACAGAAACGTGCTGTGAGAATAGTCGCCGGTTTAGGTCTTCGGGATTCTTGCCGAAATTACTTTCAAAAACGCAACATATTGACAGTTCCTTCTATTTATATCTATTTGAATTTACTGGAGATTCACAAAAATTGCCATACATATCCTAGAAGTGACAGAAACCATACATATAATACTAGGCATGGTTCTTTCCTTCTAAATGAAAGATTTAGATTAGAGACTTCATCTTGAAACAGTTTAAATTTGAACCTTTATAATTTTTTGCCAGAGTACTATAAAAACTCTTAATAGCTCACAGTCTCTACACAGTGAACGAATATTTTCAGATACCGACTATATGTTGACGCAATAATTTTTTATTATACTTTTTTATTTTTTTCTTATTTGTGTAATATCCTGTCTGTATCTTTGTTTTTTACATGTGTCTGTATATGTGCATGTATATATGTATGTATGTATATATTCATCTCATCTGTTCATTTATTTTGATAAGGTGCTTTGATGATTGATCTTGTAATTGACTTGCTACAAATAATTTTTCTTATAATGTAGTCAATAAATGGATTACTATTATTATTAAACCCTTGCGGGTTGCGGTGGAAGGTTGAATAGACCCACTCACTATGGACCTAACCTAACCAACTGCTTGGAGATGAAGGAGTGAAAGCCATGAATTCCAATATTAATTA